AGCCATTTCAACTTTAATGCTGTTCTCTTCTGATTTCAGGAGTAGCCTATTTATTCTGTGATTATGGGCTAGAGTAAACAGGTTCCCAAGATGGTCTTCACCAAAGCCAGGCGTTTTTCACCATTTTTAACTTTCAGTCCCACATACCGTGAAAGTATGAGTACCAGATTAATAAAATCCCAGGTCTTCTGCTGTGATATTTCTGTTATGGCAGGAACACAGAATTTTCAGAGAACCTAATATTAGTTTATTCCTATGTGATACCTTTGGTTTTGCCTCTTAAGCTCAGGAAGTATCAGGGTAATTTACTCTGCTTTCTGCGTTCTCATCATGGAAATGCAAATTACTGCACAGCAGGCCAGATACTGGAGAAAGTAGGTGCTTTGGTACAAGGTTTCCAACCTGAGTTCTAGCCTGAGGAGTTAGTCGAGCAGACAAATCTCTGCATCCTTTGAAGTTCGTCCTGAGTCTAAATAATTCTGAATTCAGAAAAAGTTCATGTCCTGGATGAGTTTCTAGTAACTGAGGGACAGCCATGCATTCTGAAAAGTATTTATTAGTTACTTCAAAACAAAGTAGTGTCAACATTAGAGAGAGCTTGATATTCATAGGAAAACCTACCACTCCTACTATCCCTCCACCATTTTGCTCTGTGAGTAGGAAAAACAGCACAACACATTTGCAGCCTGCAGGGCTTTACTGCCCCTCGACACATTTGCAGCCTGCAGGGCTTTACTGCCCCTCGACACTTTTGCAGCTCCAGACTTGCTTCTCAAGTGTTTTGAGCAATATGGGAGCTACTGGAGTCAGTGGAGAACAAGAGGGCTTTCTGGTGTGCTGCTGGTGAACTTCAAAGCTTCCGAGGAGAAATGTCATCTGCTGTCCCCCAGCTTTTTGCCTGTAGGTGTTCTTTGAGAAAAAGCTGGTAATGGTTGTTGCATAGTGCTTGCACAGGTTTGGTAGATAAAATACAACCTAGTAATATGAGACAGCTGTGAGCCTCAGTTTTCAAGCAGCACATGGGTCATGAGTGACCCAATTGTTATTGAGTAAATGAATGCAAGAAAGAAGGAAACTTTCTTCACTGAGACAAGCTGTCAGCCTCCCTTGACCTACCCTCCTTGTCTTCTGAGTTAGCACCCTGTGTGCCTGTGAGTCGAAAGGCAAGACAGCAGAGCACTTGTTGCCAGTGAAAACTGTGCCAAGAAGGTGGGCTTAAACCAGAGAGATGTGATTTCCTCTGAGTGAGAGTAAGAGTGAAGTAGAGATGGAGGAAAGGGATGCAAAATATTGCATGTATCCCTCTAAGGGTTGCGTTGCCCCCGTGTTGCACTTTGTCATTAGCTGAATCACTGGAGCATCCTGTCAAATCAGCCTCCTGCCTAGATTTTTAAAACCTCTAATTGGCCCCTGCATGGTACTCACACGGCTACGTGTTACCAATGCAACTCCATTTGCCCTGCACAGCCTTTCACAGCTGTTTCCCCCAGTTTCAAGATGCAGTCAGTAACCTACCATGGCATAAGGTAACCCTGGCTTTGGTTGGGACCCTGTGATGTGATCTGGCTTTTGTGTGACAGGAAAGCTTCACTTTATTCCTTTCCCTTTTAACTATTAAGCAAATGTTTCTCCATGTTTCCTGTTTATCACAAACTCTGAGCCTCTCTAGACAGGCTATTCTGAGCTTGTCCTGCTTTCTGATATTTGCATGTACATTAAAGCAAACACCCCTGCAGGGTTTCTCCACTCCCCTGTCCTTGCCAGCTCGGAGCTGGACAGCGTTCCATGGCTTGCAAGCACAGGGCTGCGCAAAAAGGGCATGCCAGGGGCCGGCAAAGCTCTGGGGAAAAAGGCAAAGCTGCTATTTCTGGCATCTCTTATTTTGCCAGCGAGTTAAGATACCTGTCCTTTCCTAATGACACAATAGCTGCTAGGTCCTCCTGAGCCATACATCGGTGACATCACTATTGAGATCTACAGTCCATGTCCAGCCATATCAATTTCTGGCTTCTCTGTGGGGATATAAAAAATGAACAAGATCCGGGAGAGTCACCCATCAGTAGTGACTGCAGTAGTAATTTTGAGAAGGTGGTTTGTTACATATTTCTGTGAACTGTTGTTTTTCTTTCAGAGGGAAAAGAGGCAGAACACTGCTATAAGATTTTTGAGGATGATCTTTACTAGATTGCTGTTTAGAGAGCTGGGGATCTCTAGATCGTAAAGTAATTACAAGCATTACTATCTTGTGCCTCTACCTGGGGTAAAGTCCTGGACTACAAGAAGTACAGTAATGACACTTTTCCTTCATAAATGCCCTTCCACTGAAGGATTATACAAAGTCTTACTTGAGATGAGTAGATTAGTTTTGTCCTTGGTTTACAGATAGAAAAGGTAGCAGACTGTGGAAACCTGACTGCTGCCTGCGCCAGAGTGGTGCAACACACCACTGAACTGAATACACTGCAGTGAAATGCTGCCAGGCACATCAAGACAGATACTTCCTACGTCCCTGAGGTTGAAATCAAGACCTCCAAAACTGTATTTCCTCTCAGGATTTAGTTCCCAAGAAGTGAAAAATATGCACAGAACTTTCCACACTCGCACACTTAAAATGATGAAAGTAAAGTAACTCAGGTTATTTCTTTTTTAATTGGTTTCTAGAGTGAATCTGTAGGTAGTAAGCAGATATTTCCTTTCTACTCTGATTGTCTATTATTGAACGTAGGCCATGCAGTGCTGTAGCTGAATCCCCTCGTCCAAGTGGTAGTCATAAGTCACTGCCTGTTCTCATGCTTTAGGACAGTAACCAAGCAAGGACCCTGACTGGATGCTGCCATCCATCACTCACTTGGTGTGAACTTCTGTTGCCAGTGAACCAACCAAGAGGTTTTTCAGAAGTGAGTCACCAATGCAGTTAGACAGCCCATCGAATGGAATTTTATCTTACATAGGCAGGATATCCTCCAGGAGGGAGAACATGGTTGGATGATCCTTGTCATAGCTAGTGCAATGGTCACATTCCCCATGAAATACTTGGTCTTCCCCATCCAAAGGGAATTTTGTTGGAGTTAGTGCTGCTAATGGCGAACCTCAGTACTATTGTAAGAGTATTATGGGAGTGGGTGCTCCTTCTGTTTTGTTTTTCCTTATTTTTGAAGCAAATCCAACTTTTATCAGTTATAGTGTTGAACAAGCCCAGTGCTTATCTTGTAAGAGAGAAGAGCAACAGGTCTTTTTGAAGAGGAGACAAAAACGGAATAAACTAGCTACCCCTTGGGTTTCTGTTGGAATAGCTGTACAGTTGAAATCTACCCAACTTTTGTTTCCTGTTTTTGTAAGTGGCTTTCATCAAAGTGCTGGTCATGAGTAAGTTAACGCCTACAGAGCTGTCACTGTCAAGTGCTGTGTATCACTGAATTCGTAGCAGTTCTGGCAGTGCTGAACTCTGTGCGCACATGTTTAAATGCATTCCCCACTTCTCTGAAGGAGTTATTTCCAGAGATCCCAAGTGTGGAAGTGGATCTCTCAGATGACTTTTGACTCTGCAGAGGGGGGATGTCTTTGAAAGACTTAGATTGGCACATGTACAAATACTCTTTCCTCCATCCTGATACGTGAGGAAGGCTAAGGATGATGTAGTGCAAGAGTTGCTTTTGCTGGTTTTATGTGGTGCTGTAGAGGAAGAGAGATCTGGGGTGATAACCAGCATGCTGAGAAATCCTCCTCCTCTGCACAGTACTGAAAACTACCACTTTTCTAATTTCCTGCAGAGTATCTTACTGACATTCAGGTAAAGTTGTCTTTGTTCAGGCTTAGCAGAGGATGTTCTCTCAGGAAGTTAAAGGACATGGAGAACTAAAGGTGTACTGGGGCAAGTTCCTAATTACTTGTCTGATCCCTGCAAGGAAGATAGTAAGGAATGGTTTTGTAGTTTGCTCATGTTTTGTTTGTTAATATAGCAGTTCCAGGGCAATCAGTTGTTTGAAGGACTGGAAAAAAACCCTACCTAGTTATCTTTGTTTGCTTCTTTAGGTCTTTTCCCTGCCTTTGTGGATTCCTAGAAATTTGTTGTGCCCGACTGTGTTGTTGCAGAGTTTATTTCACTTATCTGTGGTCTCCGCAGTGCTACATTAACTCCCTTCCACTCAGCCCAGGTCAAATCAGAGTGGTTACAGTGGTTTCGAGCAGCAGAGCAATTTTGCCAGGAGCTGAGGAATTGCACTGACTCCATCTCTAAAGAATACCCTTAGCAGTCACGATAGGAATTTTGGGTGAGAACAAGGCTTGCACTAATTACAGGGACTTAGTCACAACTTGTTAACTCCGTGTTGAAGACATGCTCTTAGAAGTAGCCATACTTGGACAGACTGGGAATTGAGAGAAAGTACAGTCTTACGCTTTAGGCTCTGAACACTGGCATCTCCAGTAAGCTGGTTTAATTTCTTGTTGTGCCTTGTGCTTCTTTTGTCACTTCTTGTATTTCTTTCCCTTTCCGTGTCTCAGTTCTGCAGCTATAAAATCACATTCCTATTTGTCTTCTCCCCTGCATACATGGCAAGTTCTTCAGGATGGGTATATTAGTTGAGTATGCAATACATATTGCAGCATGGATGTGGAAGGTCAGGAGAGCCCTGCATGACATCTTAAGAGTTTCTGTGCTTTGAGAATATGTCATTGGCTTTGGATTGTGAGGCAGGAGCAGCCTTGAATGCTCATTTAACTCCCACAGCTAATTTTCTGTTGTAGATTTGGGACTTTTCCTTCAACCTTGAAATTTTACTGGTTTTCTCTTCTGCAGGGCGGGGAGTGCTGAGACTGAATAAATTGAATTTTTCTTAAGTTACGTGAGTGCTAAATAAGATGCATTGTTATAATTTTCCATATCCTCTGCATATAAAGAGAAGTGGAAAATGAATAAATGAGAAGAAAATGTGTGACAATATCTAATGTATTCTAAGACCAAGCTTCTAACTTTCTGTGTTTCTTTTTCTTTCTTCCAGGTGGAGCGGGAAATAGCCATCCTGAAGTTGATAGAACATCCCCACGTTTTAAAGCTGCATGATGTTTACGAAAATAAAAAATATTTGTAGGTATTACTGGCTTTTGCCAGAGAAAGGGGAAGGGAAGGAGGAAGGAAGGGAGGGAGATCAGGGTTTTGGAACTTGGTAACATTTCAGAAAGAATGGAACAGGTGTGTTTTCACCCTCTGCTGGTGTCCGTGTGGTATTTGGTACTTGGCTGAGGAATGAACACTCATTCTTTCCCTGGCTTTTCTAATTTTCTCTGTACTTTCATAGAATCATTAAGGTTGGAAAACATATCTAACATCATCATCCAACCATTAACCCGGTGCCATCATACTCACCACTAAACCATGTCCCTGGGTGCCACCTCTACATGTTTTTTGAACATTTCCAGGGATGGTGATTCCACCATTTCCCTGGACAGCCTGTTTCAATGCCTGACCATTCTTTCAGTGAAGAAATTTTTCCTGATATCCAATCCAAACCTCCCTTGGTGCAACTTAAGGCCATTTCCCCTCATTCTGTCACTTGTTAACTGGGATGAGAGACCAACTTCCACCTGTCTACAGCCTCCTTTCAAGTAGTTGTAGGGAGCGATAAGGTCCCCCCTGAGCATCCTCCTCTCCAGGCTAAACAGCCCCAGCTCCTTCAGCCACTTCTCATAAGACTTGTGCTCCAGACCCTTCATCAGCTCTGCTGTCCCTCTGTGGACGTGCTCCAGCACCTCAGTGTCTTCTTTGGAGTGAACCTTTACTTATATGCTGTTTCTTTTTTTACTTAAAATGGAGGAGAGAGGACAATCCAATGTTTTCTATCAAATAGCAAAAGAGAAGGAAGGTTTGTACGTGTAAGATCTGGAACCATTTTGGATCAAAGCTGTAATAGACTTACAGTGGATAATTTGGATAACCTCCTTTGCCTAATAGTTTTCATTGAAAGCCTCAACTCTCATTAAGAAAGTGTTTTAAATTTTCCCCATCAATAACAATTTTTTGGTTTTAAGGCCCTGTGAAATCTCCTGATGGTTCAGTAGTAACAGTTATATAGCAAAGCTTTTTTTTTTAAGATTTTTTTCCCCCAAAATCATTACCGGTGCTAGACAGGGATGTTGTCCACAGACAAGCATTTTAGCTTGATTTAGGGCACTAGATATGGTGGATCTGTTGTCAAACAAACAGGCCACATTAATCTTGGTGCGACAGGAAAAAAATCAATGTTCTCCAAATGGAAAATGGTGACCCAGTAGGGAACTTAGTGTTATTTTCAGCTTTTAACAGGTTATTACAAGTAGAAGAGAGTGGTTAAAGGAAGGTTAAACAGTTTTTAAAAGCCACTATCCGTTGGTGACTTCTTTTTAATGTCACAACACAAGAAGGGAATGACTGTTTATCTAAAGAAAGTGTGTTGAATGGAGGTAACAGTCCCTTATGGACTATTCAGCCAGTCTTGTTACTGGAGCAATGAATTCCTGTTCTGAGAAGTGAGACCTCTTTGCCTAAGGGTTAGCTTAGTAGAGCAGGCAGTAATTTCTTTTGGATTCCCCACGCTCCTCTGGGGCAGAGCCTGCCATCCACAGTGAAATGCAGTTGCCAGAAAGAACTCGCGCAGGCACTGGTTGGAGGCTGGCTCAGGTGTTCTCAGAGCTGCATGCTCAGTGCTCTATCCTCAGTAGCATAAATGGTCATGGCTCCATGAAGCACAGTTTACCCCAGCTGAGGACAGAGGCCCAGATCTAACACAGCCTTTTCTGTGTGCAGAAGGGTAGCAGTGGAAAATCAGGCTTTACAGGGAGTAAGTTTTCCTTTAATCCTGAAAAGAGAGGCACCGTTGGTGAGAGTACGTTCCTCTGTATTCTGGTTTAATGGGGGGTAGGATGAGGCCCAAGGCTTTCTTTTGATTGAGATGGAGAAAATATTCCTCTTTGTGATCTTTATTTGTTTCTATGTTGTGTAATCTTAGGTATGCACACACTTAACATAAACATAGCATAGAGCTGATGTGTTCCAGATAGGTGTAGTATACTTTAGCAGCAGTGACAATGTATGAATACATGCAGAAGAAAGGCCATGAGGGGGTGTGTTTTAGAGGTGCTGAAGTTTTATTAATGCTCTAGATGCCTGTGCAGCCAGCAGCTGAACTCAGCTCTCCTTCTTTACTCAAAAAGACTTGGGGGCTGTTCTACTCCTTGTGAAAAATATCTAGTGCTTAGAGCAGTGGGGATGGTGTTACACCATTATTTCCAAAAAATACTGCATTTCCTGGCAGGAAAATATCTTCCTGATGAAGATCACCTTGAAAAGAAAAGCATCTCATATCTTTAAGCTGTATCTGGATATCCTGGCTTCTAAAAATGTTGGGCTCCAAAGCATGCTTTCCCAGTGACCTTTTAGCCTTTAACAATCAGCAAGTCTGCTTTGTGCTGTACCTCCTTCGCCTGTAAGATTAAGCTGTCTGAATCCCCCTGAAAAGGTACCAGATCCCTCTGCTGAAAGACACTGACTCTGAAAGAACCAATGACTGTTAATTATGTTTCCTTTTTTATTAGTCACTATTTTAAAGAAAGGGCACAATGCAGAGCTCCTGCCAAGCCTCCATGTTCAGAATTAGAAACAGCTGTGGCCTTGGATAAATCTGAGACATGGAAGAGAGTGCCTGTGGAGGGGTGAGGTGTTACAAGTGTGTGGGGGCTGAGAAGTGTGTGTGCATGTACTTTCCCAAGTAATAGACATGGTGACCTCTGGTTATCACCAGCATCAAAAAAGGGATTGCTCTCTGGTGGTGGCAGCACCTTTCCATCATGCATGCCATCTCAGCAGTAACAGCAGTGGCATGGTTTCAGAGGAGCTCATGAATTATGGGTGATATTTCAGAAGCCAGAGACTAATCACAATGCAGCGCTGGGGAGTATTTCCTCGATAAATGTTAATTTCACAAATCATGTTTGACTTTTAGTTTATGATTTAATTTGTGACAAGGGGCTTTGGTTGAGTAGATTCCTAATGCAACCATGAATCAAATCCTTTTTCTACAGTTTATTTAACACTGAAAATGAGTTTTAAAAAATAATAATAAAAATCTGTTAGCATATGTGTGTTAGCCAAGCAGTCTTTCTCTGTTTGTTTTAGCTGGATTCTTTTTGCCAAGATGGTTGGAGAGATGGAGAAAGCTATGAGATCTAAGATTTAATGCTCTATATGCTCTTTATCCAGCATTTTGAGTTATCTTATTTAGCAAGACTGCGGACTATAGATCTAGGAGCGTGGGGGAAAACATGGTTGCACTGAGGCTCTCTGTAAGTGTGCTGATATACCACCTCAGATATACATTTTGTTGGCTAAACGAGCAGTATTACTGACAGGTGAATTATTTTGTGTTTGTTGTACGATGACGCTGATGGCCTTCAAGCAAGGTTGGGAGTCCACAGTAATAGATAATTTAGAAATAGCTATAGACAATCAATGCCTCCCTCTCTCCCATCATATAATGTTAATAGACAAAACATCCAGGAAGGGGGATCATCCTCCAATTTTAAATATCAGGAATGAGTCAAAGTGGCCTGGTACAGGACATGATCAGTGAGCTACCAAAACCTGTGTGTGCACCAGTCATTTTGAGTAATGAAGTTCAGATAGTCAGGAATTTTAGGGTAATGTAAATCATAGAATCATCACAGAACGGGTTGGATTGGAAGGGACCTTAAATCATCTAGTTCCAACCTGCCTACCATGGGCAGGGACACCTTTGATTAGATCAGGTTGCTCAGAGCCCCATGCAACCTGACCTTGGACACTTCCAGGAATGGGACATGTACTAATGAACTAAGGGACTGAGCAAGTCAGTAACAAAGATGGTAACAAAGTTTATGTATGTTCTGTAATGCCTGTCGGAGGGGACACACTCCTTTGGTCACACAGTTTCTGCATTGCATATGAACTGTGTGAACCTGGGTGATGGTCCTATTTTCTCTGTGCTGTGTATAGAAAAGGTCTTTCCTGAACTGACCCTACACAGTGTTTGTGTAGCGACTGGAGAGGAAGGTGGAGTTCATACACTGTTAGCAGCACTACCACTGTGAATGAGCAGGAGGTTCTCATTAGCAGACTTGTTGAAGATTAAAGAAGAGGAAACATGCAAAGCCCAGTCCTTCATGAAAGAAGTGACTGGCTCGGATGTTTTCTAGGAAGCAATCTTATGCTTTATTCTTAAATCTCTGTTATGTATATTTACTGCATTTCATTTACTGTGTTTTATGCAGTACAGTTAGCTTTTGTTTTGATCATAGAAAAGCAATTGTCCCACTGTTGGAGGAGCTTTTAGCATAGCAAACTAAGTGCTATCATACAGTCCACAGTAGATGGAACTTGCCATTCCAGAGGGGATAAAGCTAACTGATACGGTTCTATTGCAGAACCCCCAACAGGGGTAGCATTACCTGTTTTGATCTCATTTGATTAGCTATTTAGTTTAAATTGCCAGGGGGTTGGTGGGGAGCAGAAAATAAAACAGAAAAATACCATACTAGGACCACTCCGTGTTTTCTTTCGGATGTTTATAATGATAATTCTCTATTGCCTTTCCATCCATGTTTATATATCTATATCTGTATCTATATATATATCTGTAAATTTCTATTTCTAGGTGCATACAGATATTTGTGTCTAGATTTATACTGATTAATTTTCAAATCTTCACATTTAAGATTTCAAATTTTCAAATTTTTGGCAACGTTTATTTTAAATCTCTATCTTGTCCAGCTTGATCAGCATTTTAAGCAAGAATCTGTTTTGAGAGAAGGAGTGGATGCCAGGCTATTGTTCTCTGAAGTGTGCCATGCATTCATCAGCATCTTCTCCAAGTAGAAGTCCCTTTCTCATCATTCAGTAGTACAATGCTATCACTGGGCAAGTGCCCAAGCCTCACTGCAATGTACACAACACACTACCTCCTGATTACAGAGGTGAAGGTGCATCACAATGAGCCAGATAACAAAATTAAAATGTCCTCCTACCCATGCACAACTTATGTTTCTGGCTTATACAAGATCAGCTGACAGCAGGAGTTG